GTGACATCTCGTATCTCCAGTAATGGGGGATCTTCTTCTCAAAGTTGTTGTTTCTGATCACAATGGCAAACCATGTGTTTCTTGTCCCCACAATGCCTTGCTGGCTGAATGTGTGCATGCTTCATTAACATAGAACGCAGGCAAGTCGTTCCCTATGTGAATTTTGTCTCTCTCACAATAGGTGATGCAAACAGCTTTCTTTGGCTCATGGTATACAAATGAATGTGCACAGTCCATGTGTGTTGCTTGTGTGTCAGATATAAAACATAAACTCAGTCTGTCTCGTAACACAGCACATAAGACCTGTAACATAAAATGAGGGAGCTAAACAGCAGACTGTTTCCCAGAAACAATACCTACACCCCTTCGATAATTATTCTTAAAACAGCCAGCCTGAGAAAGAGTGGTGTGTTATTCTAAAGCCCACACATTTCTGTGCTAATGTTAGTTGGTCTTAGTAAACATATTGTTTCTGTTTTCATCTCATTCCATCAATTATAACCTTTTGAGTGATTAAAAAGACATCCCTCCCACTGAGATAGAGCATCGGATTTTTAAAATGGCATTTTTAACGTGTTGGTTCTGGGTTTCCAGGACAGAATGCTGCAAGTAAAACCTCCCATGGGCCATATACTACCCGACTGGGGACATGCCAGCTCAGGAAAACAGTGTAGGAGGGAAACTGAAAAGTACTGGGTTCGATACATCAGGACGCGGACCACGACATCAGAGAAGACGCGTTTATTAGTACTTAACACATGGAACAAAACTAATGGCCGGGTGGCCAACTTTATACAATTGGGGAGAGACGCCCCTAGGTTCTATTGGCGGGGTTGAACTTCCCGCCAATGTCCCTATTGGCTCCTTACTTGCAGTTCAGGAGCCTAGTCCCTATTGTCTTAGGGATTGCAGCTCTAGCTGTCTCTGGCTGGCGCCTGGCAATGGTCTGAGGACATAACAGAATCAGGACCAATTCCTGCCCCCACACAACAGTCCTAAACCCAATTAGGCCCCTGAAGCCCAAAAGCAGTTCCTTGCAGTTGCTGCACGGCTACAGGGAAAGTAAACAAAGTCCAGTGAAGAGACTCACTAAAAACGTAACATGCAGTTTGGCCCTTTGCAACTATTTAGAAAAAGTGTAGATGGCAGGAAACATCTAAGAGGCGGCATTCTCTCTTGTCTTGCATTCCAAGAGAATGCCTTTTCTAAGACAGGGTGTCCATGAAATGTGATTCATCTTAGAAGAGGGGCATTCTCCCATCTCTCAAAGGAGGGAATGCCTCTTCTAAGATGGGGCCTGCTATGATGTATATGGGTATTATTTAAAAACAACAAATAAGGGTATTTTCTTTTAAAAAATATATCTGCAGCTCAGGTGTGTGTGTGTGCCATTCAGCTACTGCAGCTACTGGTGACATTTCCCTGCCTCGCAAACCTCTCTCTCTTGTTCTGAGTGGGCCTCTGATCTCCTGCCAACCCATCCCACTTTCAGTCTTATTAATAAAGCTTTATGTAACCAAGCCATTGGCAGACAAGTTACAGGATCAGGTGGAGCATCTAGTGGAAGGATGCTGTATTTCACAGCATGTACAGGCATGTCAACAGATGGGCTGTTTTGTAGGAGAGCAATATAGCCAGATAAACTTGGGAGCATCTAGAGCAGTGATGGTGAACCTTTTAGAGACCGAGTGCCCAAACTGCAACCCCAAACCCACTTATTTATCGCAAAGTGCCAACAAGGCAATGCAACCTGAATACTGAGGTTTTAAGTTTAGAAAAAACAACTCATACATTAACATAAGATGATCCAAACAAAGTAAGGAAAGCAATCCCAAATGCTTTCATTTACTTAAAATTATTTGGCAGAGAATTCCACGCTTTAATGACGGTCTGGGCCTGGCTGGGGCAATGGCACGTGTGCCCACTGAGAGGGCTCTGAGTGCCGCCTCTGGCACGCGTGCCATAGGTTCGCCACCACTGATCTAGAGTAATATTGGCTGATTTTCTCAAGGTGTGTGGGGTGGGATGAAAATCTGAACAGTTTGCTCTGGAGTTAAACAGCAAAAACCTGAGGCAGGGCTGAGGCAGCTTTCTTGCTACAAGAAGGGATCTGTGTACCTCTGCAACCCACCTCTCTCCATAGCCTCACAATACTGTCCCAGATTTTTTATTTATTAATTAAAGTATTTGTACCTTGCCTTTCCTCTTAGCTAAAGGTAGCTAAATGAGAGAACTACCCCACAACCCCATCCCATTCTGATACTTGTAGAAAAAAAATCTCTTAGCAGCAGATATTTTTTTAAAAATCATTAGGCATTGTCTGGCATTCCTTTTAACCTGAAGCTGCTTGCTCCTGTGTCAATGTGCCAAGGATTGCAGCATTAATCTACCACAGCAGCAGGTTGCAGGCTTTGTGATTCATGAACGTGGGCTATTTTGCAGCATGATCCTAACCATGTTTACTCAAGAGTCAGAAGTTAGTCCCTCGTTTTTCAAAAGGCCTTCAGAACAGGATCCCAGGGCTTCTGAAATCGTACAAAGATACACACTGGGTTTGGGCAATTGCCAATATCTCCTTTCTAAACAGCTCCCTGTGTGGATCTCTATAGAAACCTCCTCCTGAGAAAGTTGCCAAGGTTTCATCCTCTCTTTTGCTGCCTTTTCAGAACTCAGTGACAGCAGGGATGGACTGAAACGGCAGCTTGGTGATGAAACTCCCTGAATCTCGTTGCAGCATTTTTTTTCCTCCACGGGGACACCTGCATTTTGCAAGATGCAGAGAAAGAGCTGGCCAGCCATCAAAAATTACCTTGAACTGCCTGACAGTTAACTGTAGAAACAAGTCTTTGGTTGAACCCCTTTAAGGAAAGAGGCCATAGCTCCATGATGGCAGAGTATCTGCTTTGCAAGCAGAAGGCTCCCGGTTCAATCCCTGGCACCTTCAGTTACAAGGATCAGGTAGGAGGTGATGCAAAATACCTTTCCCTGAAATCCCGGAGACCTGCTGCCAGTCAGAGCAGACAATCCAGACCCTGACAGACCAAGGGTCTTACTCAGTCAAATGCAGCTTCATGTCAGCCAATAATGCAGAGACAGCAGTGTGCAGGATGGCACTCTGCTCTCTTTGCACAACTCGCACATCACCTGACATATTCAGTGATTAAAACCTGTTAAGTGCTTAACAAAGATTAAAAACCAAAAAGGAAAAAAGAACAGCACCACAAATGCTTCAAGAAACATGCCCAAGTAAAAGGAAATTCTGATACAGTCAAGTTGTCCAAAGTTTTTCAACAAATGGCCTTAAGAGACACGGAATAAAATCAATGTGCTTATAACTCCTCTCCTAAGTTGGACTATAAGGAAGGCCAAGCGCTGAATAATAGATGCTTTCGAAGTATGGTGCTGGAGAAGACTGCAAGAAGATCAAATCAGTCAATCCTAACAGAAATCAACCCTGTCTGTTCCCTGGAAGGCCAGATACTGAAGCTGAAGCTCAAATACTTTGACCACCAAAGGAGAAGGGAGCACTCACTGGAGAAGACCCTGATGCTGGGAAAGATTGAAGGTCAAAGAAGAAGGGGACCGCAAAGGATGAGATGGTTAGACAGTGTTATCGAAGCAATGAAGATGAAATTGAGCAAACTCCAGAGCACGACGGAAGACAGGAGGGCCTGGCGTGATGTGGTCCATGGAGTCGCGAAGTGTCGGAATCGACTGTGTGACTGAACAACAATTTATAACTCCACTTCAGACTGTCATCCAGATGATGAGGTCAGTAAAAAAACCAACTCATGATAAAACCATCTGGGTGGGGGCAAAACAGGTAAACCTAGAAATTAACAACATGTCACAGAGGTTTTATATGCTGACATCAAGGTTACATAAATAATATTCCCCCACAAATAAAGAACTCTATTTTACTGCAGATCTATAAATCGTTATTAACCACTGCCAATAATCACCTAAAACCAATGGGAAGCCTCCCTCTCTATTGGGCTACTGTAAATTCAAATACAATTTCATGCCGATTTAATGAATGGGTAACACTAATTAAGATAGAAGTGCATTGAATAACTGTAGCAGCTCATACAGTTACTCTCAGTTTTTCTTTGGAAATGATGTCCTCTGGTGCTGAGCCATTTATCTAGGCTAAGATGTAGGCAGAGTCAGGATAGACAGTGCACACATCTAATGTAGTCAGGTATACCCAACTCATGCCTTCTCTCCACTCGATTTCAACCCCATCTCTCTTCCTCCTCCAAAGCTCTGTACAGCACCTGGCACAATCCGGGAAAGGTACTAAACCGAAGGGTGGGGGCCTTTCCTGCGTAGGGGTGTTTCAGAGCAATCGTCAGCGCACCTCCGTGCCCCCTCAGATTCTATTCTGGCGTGCTCGACGCATTCATTTTCCCTAAAAAGGAAGCTCTATCGTTAAAGGGAGGGGAAGGAATAGCAGCGAAGAGTCTCCCAGTGGGCGTGTACAAAGGCGATGCATAGCCCAGCTAAGAGAAGGCAGAACGGACGGACTGGGCTCGGGAGAAATTCTGCGCATCGGACGGAGCGGGGAGGGCCCCGGGCGGGGATTAGCAGGCTGAGTGATGCTCCCGCAGCTTCTCTGACTGGCTCTGGGAAGCATCTCTCCGCGCCCTGCCGACACCCCCCCCCCCCCCCCCCCCCCACCCCCCCCCGCGCTATAAGAGCGCTCAGAGGCGTCGGCGCCTCTCTCAGAACAGACCGAGTGTGGCGCTTCCTGGGCTAGACCAACCTCGACTTTACACTCTCCCCTCGCCTTCAAGGCCGCCCACCGCTCGCCTGCACTACTCTTCCGAAGCGCCGGAGGTAACTGCGGGCCAAGAACACCAACCTCGGGAGCGCTTCCCAAGAGAAATCGGCACCGGAGCGTTCCCGTTTGGCTCCCCAGCGGAAAGGACACAGCCCCTCGCCACTAGTGTCTCCAAGGCGCAGAGGTGAGCTCGAGGTCTCCAACGCGCCCGCCTCGGATGGCCGGCGGCGGCGCAGCGGCCCCTGGCGGCGAAGCCACGATGCCACGCCGTTCCCTTCGCGCGGAGGAAGGGGCCGCGGCGGCGTCCAACCGAGAGCTGGAGGCGCGAGGCGCCTCGGCCACGTCTTTGCCCGCGGCCGTGCGGGGAGCTCTGGAGCTGGCCGAAGCTCGGAGGAAGCTGCTGGAGGCCGAAGGGCGGCGCCAGCTGGTCTCAGAGCTGGAGAGCCGCGTCCAGCAGCTGCACCGCGTCTTCATCGAAGCCGAGCTGCGCATGGCCAGCCGTGCCGAAAGCATGGGCCGCCTGGGCAGCAGCGTGGCTCAAGCCGAGATCTACCTGGCGGCGCACGGCCAGCGTCTCAAGAAGAACCTGCGGCGCTGCAAGAAACCGCGGGCCCCGGCCCTGCTAGCCTCCGCGCTAGGACTCAGCAGCTGCGTGCCCTGGGCGGCGTGCCGCATGCGCCGCGGCCGAGGGGGCGCGCCGGAGCCGCCGGAGTCGCCTTTCAAGAGGAGCCTCCAGGGAGCGGCAGTTTCTCCGCAGCCGCCTGGGGAGGCCTCCCTTAGAGGGGGGTATGGCGCACCTCTGGCTTCAATGCCCTGTGCAAAAGGAGGGACTTCCTCTAACAAGAGGGTGTGTGTGTGCGCCTAGCATTCTGTCATGGGCTTGGATGTGGCGACCTTTGCCGAATTCCGTGGATGTGAGCTGAGCGTCTGCTGATGTCTGCCATGCTAGTGACAATCACATTTATTAACTTAGAAATTTTACCCTGCTCTTCCTCCCAGGAGCTCAGACGGTATACAGCAGTAGGCTGACAGTGTGTGACTTGGCCCAAGGTCATCCAGTGAGCTTCCACAGCAGAGTGGAGATTTGAACCTGGATCTTCCAGATCCTGGTCCAGCACCATAGCCAATATCATACTGACTTCCTGTGCAGGTGTCCTGGATTGTCTTTGACTCAGTGCCCACCTGAAAACCATTTGTACACCCTAGGCAGTGTCCGATTCTCATGGCAGGTGTCATCCTTAAAAAATGTAGGCATGGATATGTATATATTCTCATATATATGTATCTGCCAAGAGGATCCGCCTCATGCTGCTGATGAATAGGCTGTGGCTATGACAGCTGATTTCAGAAGTAAAATGTTTTGTCTGCAAAATGCCACAGCAAGACTCCAGTTTGGTTTTGCTGCAACTCTGGAATTCATGGCTGGAAAAAGAAACTTTTGGTAGAGAGCATTGGCTCCAGGACCTTAATGAAGTGCTCAGTGTCAGGGATCCAGGGAGAAATGGGGAAGCAGAAGGAAAAGATAAGGTTGTGCCTGCCTGCTGTTAGGCAGTTAATTTTCTGTCCATCTTGAGTTTGGTCCTGTAAGAGTGCCGTGTTTCTTCAGAAGGCTGCAACCATTTCAGCTCGGCTTGCATAACACTGACAGCAGATTGGGACATTAAATGAGCCCTGGAGCAAGCTGAGCAGAGTGGCCCTTACAGTGCCAGCAGCATCACAAGGTCCACTCACCATGGCTTGGGGCTGAGCTGAACGGATTATGTGCCAATACTGTGGGGGCTGCTCCACTCAGCTTGCTCCTGGCCACCAGTGGCCCACCAACAATTTTCCTGCTAATTGAAAGGGTCATTCAACCCCCTTGCTTCTAAAACCTGATTGTATCTGTAAAGAGGGAAACTCTGGACAACCCATGTTATGTGGACAGGCTTGCATGTGATTTACCACAAGGTCAAACTCAGAACCGGTATTGTAGAAGGACAGATGTCTCATCAGACCTCTGTCACATGGTCTTGGTTGTCACCAGAGACTTTCCCACTAGCTCCAACTCAAGATTGCGATTGTATTTGCCCACGCTACTTGTTATAATTTCTTAACCTGTTTTCCTGTTCTCAGTCATGGGGAACTGGATCCAATAATTTTGCCTTAATTGTGCCCTTGTCCAAATGAAACCTGTTATCAGCTGGGAAAAATGAGCTCTGGAAGGGCCCCAAGCCAGAGGCAGCCTGAACTGCCTCTCCTGCTGTTTTGGACATTGCATTGATTTGGACTAAGATGAAACTTCATCTCCAATGATTGTATTATAATTATTTTTATGCCTCCTGTAGAGAGCCTAACTCATCAGAGCTGGGCTTTCCTACTGGCCTGAATGCACAGGGTCCGGAAAGCAAACAGTTTCAAAAGTAATGAGGGCTAACTTTATAGCACTTTGGACATAGATGGTGTTTGCCATTTGGTTTCCACAGGGTAGTGTTTTGGCGCACGATCAGTGATAAAGTGCTCCTGTCCAAGTGCTGTTGGAATGAATGGGAGCCATGCACATGCCGTACAGTGGTGTTGCTTGATCCCCATTCAGTTCATCCAGCTTTGGATAGGAACATTAAGGGGCTGTACCCTTAGCTTGTGGGTCTGCAGCCTTTTATAATTCAAGAGCCAAATATCACCAAAATTCAGAGCTAGTGATCATCAGTGAGCCAGAGTCCGAGAGCCCGTTTGCATAAGTGAACATATTAATGTTACTGATAATAGATGGCTTGATTCATAATCCAAGAAGTTTCTGCAGCTGTTTCAAACCCTTTGTTAAGATGATCTCCCAAAAGGTCTCACAATGTCATAAATATATACCAGAGCAACCAGCACTGGCATAAATGTGCACATAGTTCACACTTGGATTCCTGGCAGCGGTTCACCAGTATCATTTCCCTTTCTATAAAACATCTCTAAGAAACCCTTTAGTCATATTCTATCCAACCTATTTTTCCAATTGTTAAGTCGCTCACTTAACAAAGCAGTCGGAGAGTGATTCAGCAAGAACACAACTTTATTCTTCAACTCGAACACAACTCCAACACGGATCAACATCTGATAGCCGGAACAGCCTTTACATTGCAGCTGTCCTGCTTTTAAACATTCCCGGCTAATGTAGCCACACCCACTGTACAAATATCAACCTATGAGGTTGCAGAGATAAGGTCCAATTACATTAGTTCCCGCTCAGGGAGCTTGCTAGAAAGTGATTGGTTAGGTGCTTCCTGGGCTAGTAAAACGATTGGGTGGATTTGGATCCTAGCCCAGGACGAAGCTTTACATTGCACTTCAATTAGATGTTTCACAACATATCATGCATTCAAGGCAGCTTCGAATACACTACACCAATGGTCCTTCATGTAAAGGTTTTGTTTTATTTTTTAATACAGCCATATTTGGTTCAGTAATGAGCTACATTTGGCTGTGGGACCAGAGGTTGCAGGCCTCCTGAAGTTAACAGATTTGGAGGTGTGGCATTTTTTAAAAATCCAGGTTTTGTATATATTGTGATAACTTCATTTTAAGCTAGTTTACCAAGGGAATAGGTTGAATCAGATTTAAGAGCAGTTCTTCAATCCCTAAAGATGCTGAAATTAAAGATGAGCTAGGTTTTTAGTAGGGTGTGGATAGATGTTGGAACTTTATGCTCAAATAACTATTGATTATGTTGTACAGTCTATGGAGTTCTAATTGCAAACAGGTAGACATTCCTAATAAAGTTATATTGCTTTTGCAAGAAGCTGGAATGATAGAGAAAGATACAGGAGGTTTTGGATGGGGAGGTTTTGAAGAGAAAAGAAACTACACGTTCTCACAATCTGCATGCTCAAACAAGCAGTTATTTTTAATTGTAAGGAGAATCACGACCACTTACAAGACTTTCAGAGATTGGACAGATTAAAGTGCTGCTGTTTATTCTCCAGATTCTTTTGCGGTGAATTTCTGTTACCACTAGATTGCTACAGGAAAGAATATAGCTATATATTATTTTTTTTACAGAGTTGACGTGTAAGCTGTGCTGCATGTTCATGAGTTGTAGGAACTACCTGAATGTGGAAGAGAGACAGCTGGTCTGTTATGTAATTTTTGCCTCTCGGGTGTAATGAATGATTCCTGACCCACCAATGTTGTCCTCAGGGATGGGAACGAATGTATAAACTTCTGTCACAGGAACCTGCTGGAATGCAGCACCTACTTCTTACCTAAATAAACATTTTGCTCACTGCATAAGGTGTCTTTGGGGTCTTCTATATATATAAAAGAAAGTCCCCTCGTCATAAAATCAACGCCCAGGTCAAACCACTGGACCTAGAAACACCAAATTCGGGGAGAGCGCTCCTACCATGGCATAGATGCTCACTAAGAAGGGATTTTTAGAAATTTGACCTCTAAGTGGGTCAAAAGGGGTAAAATGTGCTCCGCCCATTGATTCCTATGTGACTGTCAGGCTGCTGCCTCCTTGCACCCCCACTCTGTGATTGGTCAGCTGCAGAGCTCAGTGTCCTGAGGTAAAAAAAAATAGTTACGGGGAACTACAGAGAGCTAATGACAGTTGAGGAAATCAGGAGTGGCCAACCGCCTGTGAGGTGAAGCAAAGCTGCTGGCCCAGCCTCCCTATGGCTTCAAACATGCTCCCCCCTCCTACACCTGACAGGCAGTTGTCTGTCAGGTGCAGCAGCAGTTGCAGGGTGCTTAAAGCCATGAGGGAACCTGCCCCAGCAGTAACGCCTTAGTGATCCTGCCAGCCCCACCTCCACAGTGGCTTCTAATACTCCTCCCCCTCCCCCTTCTACACTGGACAGGCAGCTGCCTGTCCGGTGTAGGAGAGGAGGTGGGATGCTTACAGCTGCCGGGGAGGTTTGCTCAGCAAGATTGCCTTAGCCCTGCTGCTGGCCCAGCCTCCCTGACACCTTTAAACGTAATCCCTCTAACACCAGACAGGCGGGTGTCTGTCAGATGTAGGAGCAGGACCAGGGTACTTTAATCCATCAGGAATGCCTCCACCCCAGCAGGATCATCTTAGTGATGCTGCTGGCCCAGCCTCTCTGATGGCTTCCAACACACTCCCCCCCACCTCCTACACCTAACAGGCGGTTGTCTGTCAGGTGCAGCAGCGGTTGCAGGGTGCTTAAAGCCACGAGGGAGCCCGCCCCAGTAGTCTAGAGAGAGGTCCTTCAGTAGAGAGAAAAAAAGTACATATGTCTCACTTCATTTTTTACACTACAATCTTCTCCATTAGAATTCCTACAACAAATGTTACATTTCAAACTTTACATCATCAGTATTATAACTGGATTTACGGAAGTTATATACCGTAGCAAAGCAGGGGTATCAGGCTAGTAGTGCGATAAAGCTGGGAGGGACCTTGGAGGTCATCGAGTCCAAGCCCTTGCTCAACTTTCCCAGGTTCAGAAATGGCTTTGGGGGGGGGGGGGAGAGGAAAGTGGGGAAGATCTGTGATCCATGCACAATCCCTGATCCTTATGCCGTGAACTGTGGTGTAATTAAGGCTGAGGCAACGATCCACAAAGCACTTTGTTTGGAACAGCGTCATTAAAATCTGTGATGCTTCTCAAGAAGTTTTCTGGCAAGCCAAAAATTCTGTAGCACTATTTATTAGATGATGTATTTGGGGTATGAGCTCTTGTTGCTGAATGTCAGATGCTTAAAAAAGGATGGGGGATGAATGGTAATCAGAATGCAATCCGTATCCTGATAGTTGCAGGGCTGAACATATAGATTTACCCCAAGCTGGTGCGTCA